CCGGGGGCTGGAGGTCTGAGGTCAAGGTGTCAGGGTTGCTTTCTCCGTGGGCCTCTCTCCTAAGAGACCCTGCCCAGTCCCATGGCTTCGCGGGCCATTCATTCCTGATGGCTCCAGCCTGAACCTCCACCCGGGGCCCCGGCGGCGCCCCACTGCCCTTCCACCCCCACCCGCTCCGGCTCTGTAAGTGGCTCCACCCCACTCCCAGCCAGGCCTCCAAACCTACAGGTCACTCTGTGTGTGTTTTTTTTAATATATCTTTATTGATTTCAGAGAGGAATGGAGAGGGAGAGAGAGAAACATCAATGATGAGAGAGAATCATGGATCGGCTGCCTCCTGCACGCCCCACACTGGGGATGGAGCCGGCAACCCGGGCATGTGCCCTTGACTGGAATCGAACCCGGGACCTTCCAGTCCGCAGTCCAGCGCTCTATCCACTGAGCCAAACCAGCTAGGGCTAGGGGTCACTCTGGATTCCTATCCCACCAGGGGCCTGCTCTTCCTCATGGGGGCTCTAGGGGGTGGGGCACCTGCTGCAGGACCATGACCAGCTGGGAGTCCAGGTGTGTCCTCCCATCAGTGCATACGGTCTGCTTCACGCCCTGCCCAAACCTGGCATATAGTGGGTCTTGGCTACCACTGACCCCCGCTGACCAGGAGATCCAGAACCCCCGCCCACGTCTGGGCCCCACTGTGAACGCTCTGCAGCCCACCCATCTCCGAAGGGGCCAGTTCTGTTGGCTTTCTTCGCTCGTGCTGCCCCCTCTAGAATCTACTAGAGCTGCTGCCGCCAGGGCCCCACGGCTCCTGGCCTGTGGGATGGGAAAGGGCCGGTCCTGTTACTGGATCCGAGGTGGGGCCTCCCACCTGCCCCCAGCAGCTTTCAGGGAGAAAAGAGGCCGGTCCCCCAGCAGCCCTGGGAGCAGCGCCCTCCCTCCCCTGACAGGCTCTTCCACATTTAATTACCGATTCCAGGCGGCAGGGCCTCTGGGCTGAGCCCGAGAGAGTCAGCTTCTTAATTTGATTTTTGTTCTCTCAAAGGAAAGCCTCGGGGGCCCACCGCACGGAACAGACGGGGTGGTGAGAGGGGCTCAGCGGGCCGGGAGCTGGAAATGGGGGGGATCCGGTCACCTAGACATTCCACTCCAGCTCAGCTCTGCCGTCAATACGGAGGGCTACCTCCGCAGCATTGGTTTTCCCATCTGTGAAATGGGCTGGACCCAAGCTTCCTCCCAGAGCCTTCCCAGCACTAAATCGGTGAATCCTCATGCACACGTGTGCGGCTCTGCCTTCTGCTCCATCTCTAGGCTCATCCTTTATTGTGATGACAAACCCCTTCTCCTTACCTCCCTGCGCAGGACCCTAGCACCAGCCTGTGGCTCGGGGTAGGGGGGAAGTGGGGGGGTGGGGGGGTCTCCTCCGGCTTCTCGGACAGTTCTTTTCTGTCCCATCAGGCTTCCTCCTCCCCCCACCCCCCAAACCTCAGCTACTAACCATTTCCCAGTTTGCCATTGGCCCCGGGCTCAGCCCCTGTCCCTCCGCACCTGGGCCTGCCACCTCTCCTCTCCTGCTGCTGCCTCCTGCTGACAAGGCCCCCGCCTGACCTCCAGCAGGTTCCTGGGGTGGCCCCTGGACTCCCCTGGCTCCTCAGACTGTCCTGTCCACTCTCTTCACACTCCCACACCCCTTCCCCGAGTCCTCATTCCTTCCCGGCCTCAGTGGCGCCAGCACCTGCCTGGCCTGAGCTGTGGGGTCCAGGAAGACCAAGGGGCCCCCCAATAGTAAGATCCTTTCTCTGCCCATTCTGCAGCTTTCTTGCCCCAAAAGGGAGGGGACACTTGAGCAGCAGGCCACAAAGGGGACACCCCGTGTCCAGGACCTGCAGGCAGCCTCGAGGGTTGAGGGCAGCCAGAAGCCAGGGCGCTTCGACCTTACGGTGCTGCAACCAACCGCAAGGACATGGATTCTGCCAACAGCCCGGGAGCACAGGCGCGGCTCCTGCCCCAGCCCTGGCTGACACCTGGACGGCGGCCTGTGAGCCCCACAGAGGACGCAGCGAAGCCGTGCCTGCTCCTGACTCACGGAATCTGTGAGTCATAACTGTGTTTGTTTTTAAGGCTGGGGACGCAGCCTCATTTTTGGAACCGTAGGGTCTCTGTCCCTCAGGCCCAGGGCCCAGAAGTGTCCTCGTATGAGCTGGCGACAGAGCCAGGTCCAATCCAGGCCTCCAGACTCCTGCCCCAGGGTTCCCTTCGGGCTGCCTCTGCCTGCCCTGCCCCGTCCCTGAGGCCCTTAAGGGGACCAGGCCCCTGGTGGGATAGGAACCAAGTGACCCCTAGCCCTCGCTGGGTTGCTCAATGGATAGAGCGTCGGACTGCGGACTGGAAGGTCCCGGGTTTGATTCCGGTCAGGGCACATGCTCGGGTTGTGGGCTAGATCACCAGTAGGGGGCTTGCAGGAGGCAGCCGATCCATGATTCTCTCTCATCATTGATGTTTCTCTTTCCCTCCCCTTCC